TTAAGTGCTTTCAAGTGTTGTAAACAAAAAATTTGTATACTTTATGGGATTTTTGAGGCTTGCTTCTGCGTGCTATTGTATTGCGTAAGTATTGAAAAAGTAATCAAATTTTGATACATTATATTATTGGCAAGACGTGGTCAATTATTTCCATTTTTGTGCATGAAAGCTACAGAATCGCCCATAGAATATGCATTCATATTTTTGTACATTTGTTTCCTTAGATTTTGAGTAATGAGCAAAAAAACCAATTTTTCATTCCCTTCGAAAAACAGCGGTGTTCGCAGTTTACTCGGTGCTGTGACCGTGCTCTTCGACCGATTTGACCCATTTTCGATACCAACCTGCGTTCGACAACTTGCAATGTTTGTGGCAAATTTGAACTTGATAGATTTATTTTTCCGGCCAGGAGAATGTTTACAACAGATATTATACAGACGGACAGACGGACATGTTTAAATCGATTTAGAATTTGATGCTGATCAAGAATATGTATACTTTGTGGGGTAATGGGTATAAAATTAATCATTAATTATTAATTACATCTATGAACTGCAAAAAGCCCTTATATCAAGGACTTTTGTCGCCAGAAGAACAGACATTATATAGACGAGCAGACGGACATGCTTAAATCGATTTAGAATTTGATGCTGATCAAGAATATGTATACTTTGTGCGGTCTCTAATGCTTCCTTCTGGCCAAACGTTTTGACAAAATGAATATACCCCTCATCCTTCAGTGATGGGTACAAAAAAAAAAAAAAACGGGAATTGCGATATCGTAAATAACTTCTATTGATTTAAATTTTGTTCGAATGTTAACTTTTTATTGTATATTATAAATCAAATTGATATGGACGAAATGCTGTTCTATTATTTAAATTTTCTTTACACTCTGTATGTAGTATTGTAGCACATTTTATTATTTCTCTTGATTAACAACACAAATTTTGTTTGTTTACAAAAGGGAAGAATTTAATGATTTTTGTAAAGAAAATTTTTGTTTGTTTGAAATAATAAAACTCATTATAACGTTTAGGTATGTAGTTAAAGGCTTTAATTTCTTATGGAGGATGACAGGGGCGGTTAGGATTAGAATATAAGGGTAAGATATGAAAGAAAAAATTTTGGTTAATAAATTTTCTATCATAATATTTGTCTATTGTAGCAGTGGAGGTGACATTAGCTAACTATTATATAGCTTGAACTAGCTCTCGCACAACACTTTTAATAAACCAGAACGGTCCGTGGTGTCCGCATATTCCGTTTATGCGCTTTGTTCTCTTTAATAATACGCTACACTTAGAGTTATGCTCTTTTGATTGAATGACGACTATATTTATAATTATAATTATATTTATGTAATTTACTTACAATTATAGCCAGTGAAAGTGCACTATAGTGAGACATGGCTTACGATCGTGTCATCGATGGCTTTCCAAAATAAAGTGTTCTATAGGAAGTGGTCGAATATGTGGTCCAATCTGAAATACCTTGAAAAGCATTTCATCAAAATATGTCAAAAATTGCAACCTGCAGACTGAACATAAAAAACAGGATGGACAGACGGACAGACAAGCTTAGATCGATTCAGAAAATGATACAGAATCGATTGGTATAATAAAACGTGGCGCTCAAGTCCTCCCTTGTGTTGTACACATTCGTGGTGCTACCTCAAGTCCTCCTCCTTTGTGTTGTACACATTCGTACAAGCCTAATAATTGCAATATTTACATTTATATTTGCATTTTTGTTTATATATTTATATTTCACTACATATATATAAATATTTTTTTTTTTTTGTAAGTACTTGTATTTGTTATTTTTATTTATATGCATTTTCATGCTTGTTTTGCTGATAAAAATTGTTAAAATGCACTGAAAGTCCCTGCCTGAAAACTCCAACATAATTGAAGGTTAGAGAAAAAGCACAATATTCTCGGATTATTTGGTCAATAGTTTTCAGCCTGCAACTGTACTTTCCCGCCAATTTTTAGATATATCTGGACAGACATTTTTTTTTTTGTAAATGTAGTTTTTTAATCAAATTACTAAGAAAAACTTGAGAAATTGAGAAAAAATTCATTTATATTAGTTAGAAGGTATTTAAGATTCGTTTTAAGGCAATTTATAATTCTTCTATCTCCGTTTCCGTTTTGTTTTGTTCCACTGCTCAAGCTTGTCTCGTTTGTTTAGAAAAGAAAAAAAAAAAATAAACGAACCTTTTTGTGGAATTGTTTTCTTTACTTCCTTTACGTTAAACAGGTATTGATGGCCTCTGTTGTAAAAGCCAACCATCAAAGGATAGAGAGACAGACTAATTTTGGTATTCCGTTTATAACCCTTAGAAACAGTTATAAAGCATCTAATTAAGTATATATATATAGTATTGCACTTAATCAGTATGAGATTCTGTTTTCTCTTTCCATTCATACTGTTTGGAAATGAAATGAACTAAGTGCCCCTCATACTTTAATTAACAAACCTGTAAATGGCGTTTATGTATTTACCACTTAATTGCTGGTAGTAAAAAACTCCATCTAACCCGAAAGGAACTTTGATTCTATTTATTTCTAATCCACAATAAGTACAACATTTTCAATCGTAACTACTTATCTCATTTGTAAAAGCAGCTCTTTGAACGAAACAATGTGGAAAACGGGTTAAGAGATTCTTTAATTTTTTTTCATTTGTAATTGAATTAGGGATTAAAAAGGGGAAGCTAATTTACATATGGGAATATTATTTCAATTTTACTTTTTTTTTTTTTTTTTTTTTTTAACTTTTCAGTCAAAAGAATACGTTTGAACAATGACATTGAGGTGAATATGCATATATATATGAATGACTCTACTGAATTGACAACAACATACATATGATAAAATATCAGTCGGTTCAAAAAGACTAAATAATTTCATCTTTAAAAGATGTAAACTTGAATATTTGCATATTTTGAAAATTTTGCAAAGTTATGTCAAAAGTAAATATAATAATCCCTTGCAATCCCTTGCTTAAGTTCAACTTTTCATTTTCAATTTGCGTAAATTATGCAGGTATGGATGAAAAATGGCGTATGAGATGAATACAACTATGATGGATTAGACTGCTTTAGCTGATTTTCACACTTGACCGAAAGATATTACGAGGGAAAGACTCACTAATCCGCTCAAAGCGCTAAAATAATGGAGCTTGAATTTAAGTAAAGGGAGGAAATGATGAGGAGTTTTTTTTGTCTATCGATTTTGCTGCTTTTCGAACTTGACAAAGCGATCTTATGAAAAAAACATTTAGGAGCGACGTTAAAGTTGCGAGCAAAATGTTCTCAAATTTTAGGCTTCGTTGAGGAGAATGGGAGAACCGAAGAAAGCGGGCCTTTTAATCAATTTGAAAATTTCCGTCCCGGCGCGACAGAAATGTTAAAGCACCAATCTAAAATTCTGAAACGAAAGCCCTACAATTTTGAGACTATTGCTTAGGAAAAGAGATCAACAGTGAACTTTTTTGGCATTATAGGTTTGCTAGATCCATCAAATAGTTTCCTGCCTTTTCGAAGTTGACACGGCTGTATTATAAACGAAAAGGGCGCATATTAAAGTTAAAGCTCCGAAATTTTTGTGCTACAGCTTAGGAATAGGAAAGAACAGCCAAATGTCGTGATAGCAAAGGAAATAAATGAAAATAAAATGAAACGACTTTGTTTTTAACTTCGAAAGGGCCATACTATGAAGGCAAAACTTAATTTAAAACTCTAAAATTTTAGGCTACGGCTTTGGAAAAGGAAATAACACCCGACACCCTTGATAATCAAGCAATTGAATGAAAGTGAAATGAAACGACTTCAAAATTTGGCATAAAGGCATTATAAAAGAGAAATCTAAGTCTCTCTCTCTCTCTCGTAAAGAAATACAAGTTTTTTGACAATGTTGGATACTTCTATAAGCTAATTTCGCTAATTAACGAATTATCGATTTCCTAATAATCGCTGATGGAAAATGAACCCATTTTTAGGCAGATAATAAGTTTTCATTTGCGGAATACAAAAAATACTTTTAAAAATTCTCTCAACAAAGTGAAAAAAACAATGTTTAATCGTTTGCAACTTGTTGTCGCCAAGGGTTATGCTTTCCATTTTTGCACGAGAGGTATAGAGGGCTTCGTAAAGTAGATGTGGAAATATAATTTCCGAGTAACGAGTAAAAATCTAAAAGTTTTCTTTAATAAAAACGGAGATGCGTTCAGTTTACGATCCAGTACGCGCTTCTGCTACTGCAGATTAGGCCAATTTTCAAGGCCAACCTTCATGCAAAGACTTTCAATGTTTCTATCCAATTTGAAGTCGATAACTTCATTTTTGCGGGCAGGAGAGTGCAACACACATCACACAGACGGACGGACATAGCCAAATCAACTTGGGATTCCGCGTTGATCAAATATATATATATATATATACTCTTTCAAGCTTGCTTTTTGACGTTACATATCTTATGGTAAAAAAACAGAAAGAGTATACATCAATCTTACAGTGGTAGGTATAAAAAATAATATCTGACTTAAGAGAAGCCTTGGATACAGTGTTCTTCAAACCAATAAGAATAAAAAAAGCACTTTGTACGTGTTACTATCTAGCTGCACTGCTTTCTCATTAACTTTTTAAATGGCACTAGAAAATATTTGCACCAATTTTGATAGCAATATCGATTAAATATTGCAAGTCTCAATTTCTTCTTCTTCTTCTTCTTCTTAATTATCTTGGCACTCGGCGATCAATCGCATCATTTGCAATAAAAATTATTATTATAAAGTTGTGGCTCATTTTCAATTATATAGCTTCATATCACGGTTATGATATACGAAAGAGTAGCTTCTAGGTTCTATCTTAATTTTCTCCTCAAAATTTCATCTTCATTAATAATAATAACTTTAGTTTTAATAAGGTATTTAAAATATTTGATTGTTAAGGGCAAAAAGCAAAGAGATATTTTCGAGTTAGTTTAACTTACGTTTTGCACTCCGAACTGCTAGGCGCTCTCAATTCAAGCATTTGTGAAGTTTTCGTTTTAATTAAAAAGAATGAATTTTTATCGGCGGCTTCCTGTCTAACCAAAGTCTCCGAATCGATACTCATAATGGGACTGACTGGCTTATTATTAACTTCCATGTTACGCGTTGCATTCAAATATTTCAATGAATATTTATCGTCCTATAGAGGATGTTATGTCAAAAGGCAGGCGCACAAGCAAAATGTATTATTATTATTATTATTATTGCAATTTTAAAAAAGTGACTGATAGAGGAGGACTGACCTGTTTGGTAAGTAATACAATCATATTTTCAAATAATAAACCGTGTAATTGTATGCTGGGATTCTTCTTCATTGTTAAACTGCCATCGTGTATTAAACGGTATTGTGTTAAATCCAAATTCTATACAAATGAAAAGTATATATTATATGAACAATAATAAAATAACAAAATCTTTTAAATGCAAATAAATGGGCGTAAAATTCGCAACTTACCTTGAACTCATCCTTATCAAATGTTGATTTATCTAATTTACGCTGAATATTTTGCAATCTGAAATGTTTGCTCAATTAGGTTCGTTACGTTTAGGTTCTAGGTTATTAGTTTAGGTTTAGCACTTACTTGTGAGCATCTTCAGCTGTCTTAACCGCCTGATTGACATCAACTAAAATTTTTCTCGACGACTCTAAAGCTTTCTGTATGGCTTCAGCCTCTGAGGTATCTTCGGGTACTACTCGTAGCGTAACCTTATACAGATTTTCAAATAACAATGGATATTTGGTAAGACGCTGTAAAACAGTCGGCAGCAAGTCTTTCAATTGCAAACGTCGACAGGCTTTATGAGCTTCCGCTTTTGATAATAATTTCTGTAATTGTTCATCTTTACGGCGCTTCTCTTTAAGTGCTTCCAAGGCGATTTGTTGACGTGCACAAAACTGAGCTGCATACTCCCGCAACTCTTCGCCCGATTTCCCGTCAAACATACCGGCCAATAAATCGCCAGCATTTTTCACCACATAATTATGATCGAGGCGACGTTGCTTAAGTTTTTGCTCAAATGTTCCATGCAAGTCGCGTAGCGACACCAACGAAGACGGAAATAGCAATAGTAAATGTTCTTGAGAGAGTAGTCCGCTCTCAAGCAGCGGATGGAAAAATAAACGTTCCAATAATTTAAGTGTGCGCACATGACTGCGTTCCGTTTGGTAAATTTCTAGAATATGTTTGTTATGGACGTGAAAAAAAAGACTTCAATTTCAAGAAGAAATTATATGCTTCCGTTACCATTTATGATTTCTTGACGTTTCTTTTCGCCATCTGTTAAAGTGCCTAATGTTTCTGCGGCTACATTCGAACTCCAATCGGCTTCGTTAAGGTCATCATCTTCATCGCTATCGAAATGCCATTGGCGTTGAGGTAGGCCGGCCAAGGCACTTGTATTACCCCAAAAGCTTAAATTCACTAAACCACCGCTCGTGCTGCCGTGAAACGATTCTTGACAACTTGGTTGAGATTGATGATGGTGAGCGGAAATATTAGCGGCTATTGCCGTTGCTCCGGCCCCACCCATCTGTTCCATCGAATTGGACGGGCTTTCTGAGCCCTCACCCGACGAAAGACTAGAATTAGAACTTGCCGTGAAATTGGAATTTGACAGACCCAAATCAGCTTGATCATCACTTTAAAGGATTACAAAACAAAAACAAATTATAAAAATTATAAAAATTGGCATTTGTTTTTTTTTATTTATTTATTTATTTATTTTAGCACATCTTGTTAGTTGCTTTTTAAAAGCCATTTTTAAATTGATTTAGGCAAACATATGTCTCTCTTTGTGTTTTTTTTTTCTGTGTTCAAAGCAAGATAATATTTTGCCATTTACTAACAGAATTTTCAATTTACAACGTAAAAGTGTTAAACACAAAAAAAAAATGTATATATATATATATATATATATATATTTAAATGTATTTTTTTGTTTTTTTGTTTTTCAAAAAGACTTACTTGTCATGACTGTAGCCTAGTATTTCTCTAAAACTTTTACTACGTGTATAACGTATTTTGCTTTTCATTTTTATAGAAAACAAAAAAAAAAAAAAAGAAAAAATTGTTCAAATTTTTTTTTTTTTTTTTAAATAACTGATGCAGAACAAGTATGCATGCACGTAGAATGTAACGACGTCAACACAGTTATGAATGTTTCAGATGCTTTAGATGCCGAGAAGATTTGTTGCTGTAAAAAGCAAATGTTTAGAACAGCGGCCCACAAGAAAAAGATTTTATTACATTATTTCGCATAGTATATTTTAAATGTTTTCCTGATTTTCTTTTTGTTGTTTTGTTTTTGTTCCTTTCCTAATTATAATTTTGAAAACACTTTAAGTGGCGCATAAAACACATCATTTAATTTTATTATTATTAACTTTTTTTTTTTTTTTTTTTTCAAATCGCAATCTCCTCGATATGCTTTTTTTTTTTTTGTTTTTTTTTTTTTTTTTAATTCACTCAAAGTCTTTAATCTGTTTTTACATATATAGAGCACCAGCACCTGTTGCTTATTCCGTTTAGTTTTGCGTTACGTTTAAATGCTAGCAAAGACGACAGACCAATGTTTAACTTGAGAATGTGAGAATAACTCAGCGCACAGTAACACATTTAGTTTAACTCGACATTTTCTTTCATCAAAGCTAAACTGATGATCGTCATAACCTATTTTAGGGCGCAAAAGCAAAAGCTATTCTCTTCGCCTACATCCCACTAATCAATTTTATGAAATATAATGAATTGACATCATGTTTGTGTGTGTATGTGTGTGTGTGTGTGTGTGTGTGTGTGTGTGTGTGTGTGTGTGTTCATCATATCATGTTATATCTGTACATTTTCCACTCCCCACACCGCTTGGGCATGAAAGGTGTTCCATTGCAGTATCTATGTGTATTTCATGTGCATGGATTTTCATGTATTTTAAATGGAAAATTTCATTCTAAAACATTCCCGTCCTTTGCCCGCTTCAGAAATTTCAAGCCCATATTATTATTATTGCAAAAAATTTAAAGGAAAACAAAGAAAAAAAAAAAATGAAAAGGAAACATCATCAACACACAGCAACAATAATAATTTGAAATGCGCAATTTAGAGAACTTGAATAACCCCAAGTATAATACAATAACGATAGACAGGTATGAATAAATACATCAATCTGCGTGAATGAATGATTAGTAAATTGTTGAGTTCGACAAGATTGCGAAAATCACTCAATTCATGTTCAATACATTTGCAATATTGGCTTTTAGGAATCGAAAGCAAAAAAAATTTATACCAAAATTCCATCATATACGTCAATTAGGTAAAGATAGGTAAAGGTAGATTAATAAAGAATATATTTTAAGGAGGCTTCTAAGTCTTCGGAGGCTTCGGTCTGAGGAATGAAAACATTTTGAACTTCTAGCCGGAATCGAACTTAAAATGTACGATGAGCCAATCATCGCATGTAGACACGTTCCGAGTAGATGAAAGAGAAAAAAAAAGAGGGCGTGGCGATTGTGTATGTCTGGCCCGAAAATGGAAACATCTGCAAGAGCCGAAGAGATTATTATAAAAATATTGTTCCAAATGCTGGCAGCAGTGCCGTTAAAGAATAACCGATCTTGATAATCTGTTATGGGAAATCACTGGCTATTCGTTGTGAGTCTTTAAAAGGACTTGATTGACTAACAATCCGCTGCTAATTCTCTCAAAATTTGAACATTTTTTTTGACCCCACATGAGTGCTGTGATGGATAGCGAAATGAGTTGATAGTCGTCTTCGCCATTCTAATTAAGAACATGACCACGTTACGTGATATCAAACGAACGCTTCAAAGTGTTATAGAAACATTGTAATGGAATATGTGAGGTATCAAATGTATGGCTTGGTTGTTCCAAGTGATTATGAAAATGTTAGAATCTCGTTTTCATTCTTGGAAGCTATAATATAGCATGAGCTTGCAATTTTAATACTAAATTTTTGTCTTTTTATTCCCTATCCCAGTGATGGTATAGGGAATATTAAGTGCGTACGTAAGTAACACGCAGAAGTGCTTAAGACAGATCCAACTTTTATTACATCAATCGATTCAGAATCATAATCTGAACTGATCTAAGCCTGTTTGTCTGTCTGGTGCCAATCCACGTAAATTTGTGTTCAAGCTGCAGACCGCAATTTTTGAGATATTTCGATGAAATTTGAGACAGTGGCGTGTTATGACCCAAAGACGAACACTATTGAAAATGACCGCTCCCCATATAACGACCTGTTCTTAAAAGTCGTTATATGAAAAAAAATTGTAATTTTTACAATTTCTTGGTAAAGTGACTGGGTAGTAACATTTCGGCATTCTAAACTTTGGACAGGGTGGAGCAATATTTGAAGCCCCTTTCATATAGCGAAAACGGAAGTTCATACGACAAAATGGTATAATTTTCAATGCCTCGTACTGAAAATTGTATCATAATAGTAATTTAACATAAAAAAATTAATTGCACTATTTCGGCCTATTTCTTGGATCCTACCCTAACAACGATTTTAATAAAAATTAATCCTTTGTAGAGCAGAAAAGTCTAAGCGTTAATATATGGTGATGAAAATTGGACTATAATAGTAATTTCATACAAAAACGAGCTCTACAAAATTTGGACCATTTACACATATTTTTGGATTCTGCCCTATGTAAGGATTGACCTTGTACTACATTAGGTTGCGTTTTGGGCCTGCTTCCCCAGAAATACGAACATGTAAAATATGCCTTTACAAGATATAATTTTTGTCTTTTGTAAGAATTGAATAAGTATTGAATAAGAATTGTTCTAGACAATGTAGTGTAAGGGTATTGAATGGCAGGCTTGCCCGACTATAATGTTCTTACCTGTTTTTCTCTTTTTTTTGGTTGTGCTATGTATGCTTTAGAAAAATGGATTGTTTAAAAATGATTTAGATCAAAGGAGCCAAAAACGAAAGAAGGAAAGGGATGTTAGTTAAATTCCATATTCAAACTGCCATCGGGAGGTGAAATGATGCCACAACGTCCCAAAAATCAAACGCTTGCTTTCCATTAACCGGTAAAAAATATTTCTTAACTTTTTGCGCAATAGAGGTGACGTCCATATTTAAATAATTTGATCTAAAGCTAAACACTTGTTTTTCAAAACTGATTTGCAATTAAATTCAAATTGAGGAAGGAACCATTATCTGCAGGCGTTCGTAAGGTGTTCCACTTTTGAGAAGCAAAAAATTAATATTAACAGTAGCGGAAGTTCTACTTGAATGTACATATGGATATAATTGCGTATAATTGTATATAAATTATATATAAATTTATTTCAATATAATTTCAGCTAAGGAAAAAGTCTTAGTTGTGAAATTTTCAAAAAAATCGTTGACAAGAGTTAAATTGTAGGATCATAGAAAAATATTTGGAAAAAAAAATATTTATAAACTGCTTTGTTCATATATGTTGCTTTCGTGTCGTCTTTACACTTCCTTCTTACGCAATAACATCCGTTTAAGTAGAATCAACTTTCATAGACAACTACTAATCAACACTCGAATGAGTCCGAATTTAATTTGATTTTGGAAAATCTAAAATAATTTTTTAAAAAAACACATATTGATTTTTATATAATATTATGAAATTTACACAAGTACTAATTGCTTGCTCTTTCCACACCTTAGTGCCAAACATCCATAAATGCTACGCTTATTTAAACGAACCCAAGGCCAGTTGAGCCATTAAGTAACAAAGTGTAGGAAAAATTTATTGAAAACAGTCGGGTTTGTTATAAACCTGAAACGAACATAACTGTGGATGAGCAATTGCTCACAGCTAAAGTCAGGTGTTCTTTTACTCAACACATGCCGAATAAAGCAGATAAATTCGAGATCAAATTCGGCATCAAAACAGTTGAATTGTCAAGTCCAAGTATCGGGCGGAAGAAATTGAAGCAAGGCATCCTGTGCTAACCGTAATAAAACAACTAAGAACATCTTTTTTACACATCTCAGCAAATTTTCGGTTGTCGGTTTGCCGAATAGAAGAAGAAGTAAGAACATTATAGTCGGGCAAGGCCAACCATTAAACAATCTACACCACATTGTCTAACATAATTTTTGTACGAAATTACTATTATGGGTGAATTTTCATCACCACATATTAAAATTTTTTTTTTACTCTACCAACAATCAATTTTCGTGAAAATCCTTATTAGGTTGGGATCCAAAAAATAGACCGAGATGGTACAGTTGATGTTTTTCTGTTAAATTGCTATTATGATACAATTTTCGTCACGAGGCATTCAAAAATAATACCTTTTTTTCGTATGAACTCCAGTTTTCCTTCTCTAAGTGGGGTTCAAAAATTGTCTCAGCCGGTCCAAACCGTTTAGTCACTTTTGCCGAGAAATTCTGAAAATTGCAACTTTTTTCCATATAACGACTTTTCGGAATAGGGCGTTATATGGGGAGTGATTGAAAAAGTGGTCTGATCTGAACCATTTTCAATAGCGTTCGCCCATGGGTCATAACAAGACACAGTATCAAATTTCATCGAAATATCTCAAAAATTGCAACCTATAGTTTGAACATAAATTTTGCATGGACAGACATCAGACGGACAGACAGGCTTAGATCCATTCAAATTATGAT